GGGGTGGGTGGGTGGGCAGTGATCAAGAAGCCAGCTTCAGGTTTGAGTTGGTGGAGATGCCCTAGAGAGCACTGCTCAGCGGCTCCACACTTTTGTCCTGGAGTCAGTGTGGACCCCTGAGGGACCCTGAGATCAGAAGTGGGCAGTAACCAAGGCCACAGACTTTCTCTGAAAGGCAGGGAGTTTTGGTGAGAGTTAATGGAAGTTGTTGGGAATGTGAATGAGAGGCACTTGGGGTTTGGGGACCAGACTCCTCCCCCAGTGATGGTTTTGGAAACTCTTAAGAATCACAGCAGGACTCATAGATGCAAAACTCCCTAAGCTAACTCTTTAATTTTGATTGTTTGGTTCAAAAATAAAGTTATCAATTGGGCCACCACTGGAGATCTACCTCATTATGGCTGGTATGAGGCTAATATCTCCCATACTCCCTCACCCTGTGGGTTCCAAATTACTGACTCTTCCCCTTTTCCATTCAACCCCGGGAAACCGAGGACCATTTGCCTCTGGCACCATCATCACAGCCCCACCTGATCCAGTCGGAATTCTGGACAGCCAGCTGACACATGACGAGACGATGCCGACTCGACACCAGGCCCTGGAAAGCAACGAAGTCATGAGTAGGAGGTGGCCTTGGTCTTCCACAGCACCCAGAAACACCAGAATAAGCCACCCCATTACAAAGTGTAGCCATGTTTGATAAGAGGAAACGAGAGGTGTGACCCTTTAACTTGTCCCTTTGTCACACACACAGACATTGAGTGACGGGGGGAAGGAAAGGGATGAAGGATGTGTGGCGTATATCCCACTGAATCAGAGTCCAGGCCAGCCAGTGCCCACTCTGCATAGGTCAAGGTTTGACCTGGTCTAAGCTCAGTTAGCCTAGTTTAGTGATTAGAGTATCCCTGGGACAAACAGAAATGACTGGGTGAGTTCCCACATTTTTGGAGACCTGGGGCAAATTATAAGAGGCACTGGGATGCTTTTTCCAAAATAAAAATCTCAGGAACAATTTGTCCAATGCAGGTCAACCCATAGCACGCTGAATGAAGCTCAACCCATAACCCGCTGCCAATCTGGAGACCAGCACAGTCACACAGAGCTGGCACACTCACTCCACTCTGTGAACAGCTGGCTGTAGTGAGCAGCTGGCCCTCCGGCTGTGGCCAGACAGCCAGTTCTGACAGTGGTCCAGGGATGAAAGCCAGATGCCTACTGTTAGGCACTTAGCATTTCCAGGAATCTCTCCAGAGACCACAGTGGGGCAGTTTTATCCCAGGGAGTGGTCGTGAGGAGGGAGGGTGAAGGGAGAGAAGGCATAGGAAGAGACCCACCTGTTTTCCATAGGAGTCGTGGACAGGAGAGACAATCCCACCAATCACAATGAATCTTCCAGTCTTATGCAGATAATCCCTGGCTCTTTCTAATTAAGAGAAGAAAGCGGCATATTACACGAGAGGAAGGGTGTGGATGAAAGGTGATAATGAAATCAGTCAGTTAGGCCCCCAGCCCGCTAAGGTTCCGTGCTTGCTATTTAAATAGAAGGTGTCAACTTTCAAAGCAAATGGTGGTGACTCACAGGTTAGGGAGGCGGACCTTAGCCCCAGATACAAAGGATTTAGAATTTAATCTTAATTCAGGGCTTAATCCAGGGGAAGGGGTCTGTGTTGCAGGGGACCAAGGCAGCTGAGCAGTTTAAAACAAGCACCTCATTAAGGGGCATTAAGAGCTTGCTGATTGGAATTTGTTCCTTTTGTCATTTGCAAAAATCCCTGTGACAGGAAAAGTAAGCCTCCTTAGAATATGAAAGATGTGCCGATTGCCTCATCCAATTACCAAGAAGGAAGAAATAGGAAAACGAATGTAAAGGGCCTTGTACATAATCATAGAGAATTAACCACCAGCCTAGCTAGTCAACATCGTTACAGTTGCTTGAGAAAAAAAAAAAAAAAAAGACCTGGCAGAACAAAAGCCTCCTTAGGAGTGTCGTGTTCCTTATCCAAACTGGTCAAGCAAGCCCAGGATCACTTCCATGAGAAAAACTGGTGAACCCGAAAAGCTTAGAAGTCTAGTTTGTTCCCACCATGGCAGCAGCCTGCCTCAGCTGTGGAGGTAGCTACATCATCATCTGTCACCAGGTGCCTTCAGGTCAGCTGTGCGACACCCACCCTTTAAACGTGCCTGTGCACTGGCAATGGGTCCAAGACCTAACACTAATGCACAAACTGACTTTTGGAGCCCGCTCTATATGGAGAGATGCCTTGCCCAGCCTAGACACAGGGGTGGGGGGTGGACAGGGGCCTTGGTCCTGTCTCAATGAGATGATGGGACAGACTTAGTAGACTTCCTAGGGGAGGTCTTACCCTCTCCAAGGAGCAGGTGGGAGGTGGGGGAGGGAAGGGGGAACTGGGATCGGAATGTAGAAAATAAATTAAAAAAAAAAAAATAAGTGCCTGTGTGACAGCACACCCTTTAAAAGAGCTGGTGGATCACAGTCCTCTCTGCTCTTGCCCTTCTTCCTCTTGTCTCTTCCCTGTTCCCTCTGTCTGTCTGTCTGCTGGCCTGCCTGCCTCTCCAGAGAAGGCCTTTTGCTCCGTGTTCGCTTAGTGGCATACCTTGGCCCACTGAAGCCCAGGGAGCCGGTTGAATAAATTCTATCAGGTTGTACGTTTTTAAAGATTTTATGTTTTGTGTCTGTGTGTACATATTCTTGTGGAGGTGGAAATTGATTTCCCCATTTACTTTCCACTTTACTTTTACAGAAGATTTATTTATTTTTAATCTTTTATTGTATTTATTGTATTTATTTATTTATTTATTTATTTATTTTGAGACAGAGTTTCTCTTCACAACAGCTCTGTCTGTTCTGTAACTCACTCTATAAACCAGGCTGGTTTCAAATTCACAGAGATCTGCCTGATTGCTGAGATTAAAGGTATGCACCATCATGCCTAGCTTTCTGCTATGCTTTTACTATGTATGAGTGTTTTGCCTACACTTATGTATGCACATCATGTACATGCCCTCAGAGGCCAGAAGAAGGCTTCATATCCCCTGGAACTGAAGTTACAGGTAGTTGCTAGCCACCATGTGGGTGCAGGGAACTGAACCTGTGCTCTTTGTGAGAGAAACAAGTGTTCTTAGCCATTTAGCCATCTCTTCAGCCCCATGCCTATCTTTTTACATGAATACTGAGGATGAAAGTCAGGTCCTCCAGCTCCCGGCAAACACTTCACCAACCGAGCAATTCCTGAAGTCCTCAGATGTGAATTTTGTGAAGGGCAGCAAGGCTGGTTGTCGATTCTACAATTGAAAGACCCCCGGAGGCTCAGGCCCCAGGATCTCAGCCCAGGACCGTGGCCACCCCAATCACCATGTGGAGGTGAAAGCTTAATGCAGACAGCAAGAGGCTTTATTGTAGTTGTTTAACCAGCTAACCCCATGTTAGCTCCGGCCTTTCATCCATCCACCATGGCGGATGGCTAGGAAAGACGGCACAAAGTCACGACATAGAGATCTTATAGGGCAGCATAAGGGGAGTGTTTAGGGGTACGCACAGGCTCAGGATTGGTGTGCCTCCAGGCTTGCCCTGTGTTGATTGGTCAACTGGTTGTTATGGCCCATAGGCCCTCCCAGGGCAATTGCTATGCTCTGCGCGTCATTGCTGTGCGCTTGTCCGTAAAGCACAACCAGAGCTGTAAAGCATAGCGCCACCAGCTAACTTCTGATTGGTTCCTTGCCATGCGGCAGGCATCTGACCTCCTAGTGACTGAGGCAAGGTCAGGCAAGCATGTGCTAGGCTGTTATGGCTGCTAAAATGGGGAGCTGGTCCCTTCACAATCAAGCTTTCATGACCTTGGTGGCCCTGTATGCATTTAAAAATAATTTTTACTACAGTTGCTTCTTTTATCCCCTCAATGTAAAATCTTTTAAAATAAAAAAAAAATGACTGTATTTTTAACATTTTCTATATTTTTCAGGGTAAATGAGGAGATTGCTCCTATAATTCAATAAACAGCACGGTTCCTTTTACTTCTCTCCCACACGGGTTCCCGGTTACATGAACAACCTTGCACCACGCAGCACATTTGTTCCACTTGATTAACTGTTGTGCACGGTCTACATTCAGATTCATTCTGTGCTATACAATTCTATAGGTTTTGATAAGCATGGGACATGGATCTGTTATGAAGAACCACACAGAGCATTTCACTGCCCTAAGTCTCTGGGGCTCACTCCACCCATTCATTCCTCCTTCTCACCCTGACCTCTGCCAACCATGGCTCCTTTTACTATTTCCTGAGATTTGCCTCTGCTGCTGGTCAGAATGATGCAGCACACAGTCGCTTCAGGCTGGGCCCTTTTGTTAAGCACTATGCATTAAGTTCTTCATGTCTTTCTGGGCCAGCTAGTTTTATGTCAGCTTGACACAAGCTAAAGTCATCTGAGACGAGAGAAACTCCACTAAGAAAATACCTCCATAAGATGAGGATATAGGCAAGTGGGAGGGCTCAGTCCACCCCTGGGCTGGTGGTCCTGGGTTATGTAAGAAAGCAGGCTGAGCAAGCGAATTAGCAGTGTCCCTCCATGGTCTCTTCATCAGCTCCTACCTCCAGGTCCCTGCCCTGTTTGAGTTGCTCTCCTGACTTCCTTTGATGATGAACAGCAATATGGAAATGTAAGACAAATAAACTCTGCAAGTTGCTTTGGTCATGGTGTTTCATCATAGCAATAGTAACCCTAATGAAGACACTTACAATGTTAAATAGTTTATTTCTCTTTATCAGTGAATAATATTCCATCACTAGCTGATTCTCAGTTTGCTATTCTGTCCACCTGCTGAAATACATTGTCATTGTCCCAGGTATTGGTGATTATAAACAGAGCTGATGTAACATCCATGCGGGTATTTGTATAGTTATGTTTTCACCTCATTTAGGTAAATATATAGGAATGAAATCACTGAATCACATGGTAAGTATATGCTTAGTGCTATAAGAAACTCCCATTGTCTTCCAAAATGACTGTACCATTTTTTTAAGATTTATTTATTTATTATGTATACAGTGTTCTGCCTGAATGACAGAAGAGTGTACCAAATCTCATTATAGATGCTTGTGGGCCACCATGTGGTTCCTGGGGATTGAACTCAGGACCTCTGTAAGAACAGCCATTGCTCTTAACCTCTGAGCCATCTCTGAAGCCCCTGGCTCTACCATTTTGCATTCCCTCCAGCATCAGTAAATGAGAATGACTATTGCACCCCATCCTTGCCAACCTTTGTTTCTCTTGGGTTTGTACATTTAGTCATTCTAGTAGGTGTGTTACTCTGTTGTCTATTTATTTAAGACTTGTTTACTCTTGTATTTTTTAATGATTTATTTCTTTTTACATGCATTGGGTTTTACCTGCATGTGTGTCTGTGTGAGGATAATGGATCCCCTGGAACTGGAGTTACAGACAGTTGTAAGCTGCCATGTGGGTTTGGGAATTGAACCAGGTCCCCTGAGAGAGCAGCCAGTGCACCAAGCCATCTCTCTAGCCATGGTTTGTTTTGATTTATGCATATATGTGTACATTTGTTTGCTTACTTATTACTATGATAAAAAATACTTGGAGTGCCAGGCAGTTGCGGCACACACCTTTAATTCCAACACTTGGAAGACAGAGGCAGTCAGATCTCAGTGAGTCCAAGGCCAGCCTGGTCTATGAAGACCAGAATTGTTACACAGAGAAACCCTATCTCAAAAAACCAAATAATAATAATAATAATAATAATAATAATAATAATAATAACCATGAGAAAAACCAACTTATAAAATAGTTTGTTTTGGCTTATAATTACAGAGGGCTACAGTTCATAATAGTGGGGCTGGCATGACAACAAGCAGGCATAGTGAGAAGGCAAGACGCTTAGAGCTCACCTCTCAGTCCCACACAGGAATCAGAGAGTGAACTGGAAGTGGGGAAGACTATAAACTCTCACAGCCTGCCCCCCATTCACACACATATAACTTTTCCAGCACCACCACCAAATGGCTACCAAGTGTTCAAATACCTAAGCCTATGGAGAACTTTTCTCAGTTAAATTATCACTAGGTGTGTGTGTGTGTGTGTGTGTGTGTGTGTGTGTGTGTGTGTGAGGCTGTCCTGGAACTCACTCTGGAGACCAGGCTGGCCTCAAACTCAGAGATCTGCCTGCCTCTGCCTCCCAAGTGCTGGGATTAAAGGTGAGCACCACCACTGCCTGGCTGTAGTAAGCATTCTTTTTTTTTTTTTTTTTTTTAAGATTTTATTTATTTATTATGTCTTCTGCTTGCATGCCAGCAGAGGGCACCAGGTCTCATTCAAGGTGGTTGTGAGCCACTATGTGGTTGCTAGGAACTGAACTCAGGACCTCTGGAAGAAGAGTCAGTGCTCTTA